GCCGTGGCCGGCCCGGCGGGAGCGGGAGCCGAGGGGGCAGCGCAGGTGAGCACAGCGCCGAGCCGCGCTCCCGCCGCGGGCTGCGTGTGGCCGTGTGGGGCGGGGGCCGGGCGGGGCGGGGGCGCTTCTGGCGGGGCCGCACAGGTGATGGCGGAGGGGGCCGGGCTGTGGCGCGGCTGCAGCTGGGGATGACCGCGGCGAAGGCAGTGGCCCGCACCCGAGTAGTGAAAGTGTTCCCTTATTCCGGCCCGGGGAGGGACCCCCCCGTCGGGCAAACACGGACCCTGCGGGATGCCGCGTAGGTACAGGAGCCCGCGTCTACGTAGGGGTTCAGTTTCAGGTTTGGGGGTAAAAATGACGAGTCTTAACGTTCTTGTTCCAACTTTTAAGGCCGCGTCTGATGAGAAATGGAAATCTGGCTCAAAGTCATCCTTCCTGTTGTTGACATCACCTGAAAACTCCGCTGGAAATATTTCCACTAGTTTGCTGCAAACATCAGCCTCCCCTGAGATCTCAACACCTTGTGAGTAAACACTGGCTGCTGGTAGAGCTCTGATYGTGGAAATCCATGGCTACGGCATGAAATTGTTCTGCAGTGTTCTTTTTATTGCAAGCATTAATAAAGGGCTTATCGTGCCCTGGGGTATTGTGTGCATTACAGAACAGGCTGTAGACAGTGCTCTGTTTTTTTAAAAAGGCATAACCAATATCTTCATATTTATCTAATTATGTGTAAAGTGATTGTTTGGGTTTCTGCTTGGTATTTCTGCAATGCACATGGCCAAAAGGACGTGTTGTCTGCTATTGAATACCTTTTGTTCACAGCRAAAACATTGAGAGGCTTGGAAAGTAGCTTGTTGGTAGGTGGATCAGCGAATCTTTTCCCCCATAGACTTTCAATGAACTAGAATGTCCTATGAGTGTTCAAGGAGTAATTGGGAAGATCAGTAAGTCCACCTCTGTTCAAAGAGAAAAACGTAACCATGTCTAAACTCTTAGGCAGTATTGGCTAGGCGTGGATCAGATYCCCTGGTTGGACTGTTTGAGTCCATGGCTTATTCTGAGGAGGATGTTATTTACTGTGTTTCAAGGTGATATGTTGGGCTGCACAGCTAGTTTTATAACAACGTATTTTGGCACACTCAAGTTCCAAGTATTGTGTAATCTTCATTCTCTAGATAGTTGGAAAACAAAGTGTTTCTGGAGATGTGTGATTACATGTAAGATCTGCAGTTGCACTGCAGACCARAAGACAGGATGTAGTGACTCTCATTCAGAATTTCATAATAAATTATGAGCAGAAAATATTAGTTAAATAAACTGCGTGTAGCAAAACCTACAGTTGGGTGGCTACATAAAGTATTTAGATGCCTGGTATGTAGATGATGTGTGCCTGTCTGCCTGTGAGGACCTATTAGTCTGCAAGGGTAAATGGGAGTTATGTAGCAGCAGTAGTAATGCCACTGCTTTTCTCCCTGTTTTGTTGGTTTTTTTTTTTTTTTTTTTTATTTTTATTTTTATTTTTTTTGTTTGAAAATAAACTAATAAAATTTAAAAGGGACTTTGTGATAGTGTTCAGTTGGAAAGTTTTCACTTTCCCCTGCTCCTTAATGTTTACCCAGACAGTACTACCAATCTCTTACAGGAGACTGGCTTTGAACACTAGAAATTAAATAGCCAGTAAATGATTGGTAAAAATAAAGTGATAACCTCCTGATCATGCAGTTGATTTCCTTCAAGGTTTATTATTGGAGCTCTTTTCAGTTTTGGGAAAGAGAAATTATGAGAAGTTGCCTGCACTAGTGGGGCTCCCCTTTTGGCTGATATAACGTAGTTGCAGCACCAGTCACAGGTGGCACGTTCTGGAGTTCAGATTATCAAACTTACGATGTTCTTGGACAAGATGAGATGAATGATACCTTAATAAATCAGGTGCTTGTAGGGTGTGGTAATGAGCAATTGAGCCTCAAGCTGCGTTTCTCCATGTGTCTTCAGCTTCACCTCTGTCTGACTTTGCCAGTGAGTCATTTTGTGATAAAAAAAAAAAAAAAAAAAGCTTACTGCCCCTTATTCGCTAAATCTATGTTACAGGCTGAACAATGCTTCTTGGTTTGGATAGGCAGTGAACCAATGAACATTTGTAAAGCACTTTCAGGTTCTTAAATTAATTATACTATCTGACAGCTATATTTATTCTCATTAGTTTCAGATGTGCAATTCCTCTTTTTCCCTCAACAGTTAGGACTTTGGATGAACTTTCAGAGAACTCACAGTTGTATCTTTTTTTAGAGATACATCAGTACAGCATGTTCCTAGTGGAAGTATTTTATTTAAAACTACAAATGAGGTGCCATATTTTATTGGCAAGATTGACCTAAGGAGATACTTGTCAAAGGCATAAATTAATTGTAATTGCTTTGGGCAAATAAAAATTAGAAATAATTATTTTTAGTTCCTTTTGTTTATGCAGGAATGAAATATGTGACTTCCTCAAAAATGATCCAGCCGAAAATAGAAGGTGTAGAGCTGCACATTGGAAAGACCTTGTTTCATAGCAGCAATCTTCTTTCCTGCCTCCTGTCTAGCGATTTTGACCCTAAAAAATTCCAGAATAGTTTCTGAAATACAATACTAGCAAATACTCTTGCATACCATTGCTATCTTGGGAACCCATTAGGAAGAGGTTAGTTACTTCTCACTTGACTATTCCAGTCCCTGTTAGTAGGTTAYAGTTCCTTGACAGCAATTGTGAGAAAAGTGAAATCCTGAAATACCCCACTGCTGTCTTGCTGTGACCTGTCTCTGAATTATGTGTACTGGTCTCTTTCTAAACTTTTTCCATTCCTTTTGTCTGTATTTGATTGATCTCATGCTGCCATTCATGAAGACTGTTGGATTTGTGAAGGCAGGTGTTCCAAAGTTAGAAAGAGTCAGAATAAATGTGTGGAGTCCTTGCTTATTTGTTGGATAGCTTTCAAACGCATGCGTGTTGGGATGTTTCCTGTGACTGGGATGTTCTCTGCATATTGCTTYCTTTGACAGGTTGTATGTGACACAGTGATGCTTTGTATTTAAAGTGGTGCTGGTTTGGCCAGGCAAGTTTTTTTTGTGTTTTCTGGAAAACGCTGAGATTCAGTTAAAGATGTTCAGGTCTTTAGAGTTTAGCAGGAAGGATRCTGTTGGTGGGCAGTAGTTTGATACCAGGGTCAAGAATGCTATGAAGAAAAACAATGATGAAATGAGTTTCAATTTAGAACTYATTTTTTGAGAGGTGCGTGATAAATGAAGCATTAAGGCTGTGCAGGAGGTTAAAAGCAATCTAGCTTATTACCACTAATAGTTAGTTTGGTATATTGAAAGAGGAGGATATTGTGTTGTGATAAATGAATCCCCCTTGTATGGCCTGTTGAATACARTACAACAGCTTGAATTCTTGCATTATCCAGTTGTGGAGGGGYTGTCTTGGTAGTCTCAGTAATGTACTTCTGATGCAATATCAAATGTATATCATGCTCATGATATGATGCAAGACTGTAGATTGCTGGCTTGCTCTTGCAAGACTGTTTTACTTTTGATCCTTTGTCAGTGATTCTGTCATGTGTGACATGAAATTAAAGGTCTTAGAATGAACAGGAAGTCTCTCTCTTCCAGCCAGCACTCATGTCTTGCTGCCTGCTCCTCCATGTGTCTTTTCCTTCCACTCCTCACACCCACTGCTGGTTCTCCAAACCCTAAGCGCATCTCAACCAAGCCACAGCCATGGGGGTAATCTGGCTGTGAATAGGGATAGGATTTGGGCACACCTGTGGGAAGTGGTGGATGGAAGTATCTGGTGTGGATGCTAGCCAGATGGAGCATACTGGGGCTATGGGATAGCTGGGGTGTGATGTGCTGAGCATACGTRCCCTGGTGGGATTGCTGTAATCCTGAAGAAAATACTATATATTCCCATGCCAAAAGAGCCTAGGCTTTTTTATCTTAGGTTGTAATCAAAGGCATATTAGGAATATTCTTCAAATCATGAAATCATACCTCCTTCAAATCCTGGATTTAAATAAGCTTCTTTTAACAGCCTATCCCTTACTTTCCCTTTCTCTCTCATGATTTACCACCTTCCCCACTTAAGCACTTTCGTGAAGTGAGCCACTGAAGATACAGGTTTTGTGTGCATGTCTTGGCATGCTGTTGGAAAAAAGCATTTTCATTTTCATTATGGAAAATTCATTTGGATTTGATGGAAATTAGTTCCTTAAGGGTGTGCATCCTCAGTGTCTCTGCATTGCAGCAAGTTAATTTCCTTTTCCAGTTTGAGATGCCAATTGCTTTAAGACATCTTAGGAAGACCTGTTGCTAATCTGTTTATACTGTGCCAATGCACTTTTGAGTCAAAATGCCCTAAATTGTCTTGGATGGGTCAGTCATTGAGGAAAAGTGCCAGCTTTATAAAATAAAATAGCACCATGAAGGTATGGTAGTTATATATGAGCTTAATATTTGAGTAGCTTTTCAACAGTGATCACAGTGAATAATTTTAGGGATGTTTTACTTTTATTCAGAGTTTATTCTCTTTGTATGCAACAGATGCAGAAATTGCAGCTGGCTCAGAGTCTTGGGCAGGATATGATCTTTTCACTGTATCACTACTGTCTCATGTAATTGCACTTATAACTGCCAGGCAGATCTGTTGCTTAACTCACTTTGTTAGTATTTTGTAAAGCTTACATATGAGTAATTTTCTTTCATTTAATGTCTGAGCACTTTTGGGATTAGACTGTGTCTGGCTGAAGTCTTTTGAGAGGATTTAGGGATGGCGGAAAGGGCGGTGTCTTTCTTCTGGCTGCGGAATTATCTGCCTGACATCTACAGTCTTTCATTGACATTATRGTTCTGGTTTAAATCCAGGTTTTGAAAGTACAGCACTTTCTTATCAGTTAGTTTTTTCCAAACTTTGCAGCAGCTCCTGAATTCTTGCAGATTCTCCTGATTTTTTTTTCCCCGGCTTCTGTGTAAAATCAGGCCATGCTCTTTCCATGTGCTTTTTTTTTAATGTTTATGGTGGTTTTTAATGGTTATTTTTAAGCTTATGGTCTAAGTCTGTTGATATGAATGGCAGTCTCAGGTGTGGAGCGAGCTTAAATATACATTTGAAGCATAGAATTTTATTAATGAGCAATCAGCTACCACATTGGATTCTGTTCTTTCCCTYTAAGATTACACTTAATCAGTTTGGAGAAGCCAGGGTTTAAGAAATCCTGACCTGGCATGCACTGGGTGAGACTGTCATCATTTCACTTTCTCTGGTGTCTCGACAGGCAAGGTGGAGGTGCCTCTGCAGGTGAGCTGCTTCATTACCAGCATGCCTGAAAAAGCAGAACTGGGTTTGGGGATGAATGAAAACAGCTCAGTCAAGAGAGGGTGTTGATGTTAGCTGACTTAGTTGCAGCTGGGCTCAAAATAAACACAATCAAATTTAATTTATTTAAATTCTAGTAATGTAAAGAGTTTTCAGTAACTTACCAAGTG